AACAATAACTTAAAAGGAAGAAATTCGTAAACCGTGTCGTGGTAAAACCACTGCCTTAGAAACGAATTCGCCCTGATGTGTGTAATCGTTGCAGTAGGCGGACCGTCCCCCGAGGTTAACACAGTCGCTCCGAATTCCGTACACCCGAAAACCGGAGTGGACTGCTGGTGGTATTGCACTTCTGATCGGAAAGCACACAGAGAGAACTTTAGATAACACTTGGAGAGTGAATTCTAAATGTTAAGAGCAAGTTGAGAAGCTGAATTCAACTCTCTGTTTATAGGCTAGAAATAGGGTTAAAATCGTCCATATAAAATCAGGATTAAAACCCTTCTTTGTAATAGCTGAAACGTCTAGATGAATCTGACTCGGATATAGTCCAGGTTCATTGCATCATTATTCAGCTGTTATAACTCCTAAAATTATATCATGTAACTCCTGAAATTAAATCATGTAACTCCCGTAACTCCTGATTTTAACAGCTTGTCTCCTCTGTACAAAGGTGGAAATCAATCCAGATACATCTTAACGTTTTTATTTAATTTAGGGAAAAACTGTTTAATTTCATCCTAAAAAGATAGTATCCCCGCGGACGTGTCAAAGACATTTATGACCACGACCGAGACCGAGACGAGCTGAGACGGGCGACAACGGCGGTGCACAAGAGTCCCCTTGTTCTCTATCACTCAACAAGGAAGTGAAAAATCCAAACCTTAAATACCCATTCCCAATAGTGTTTTTAATACTATGTGGGATTGAGCATTACCAACAATCAGCATTTGGGTCTGCAAATTTGGAGCTCTGGTATGGATGGGGCACCGAGCTTTTCTTCATTCTACTAATTTATTTCGTCGATCGACTGCTTTTTTCTTGACAAGGAGATGGTCTGCCATGCTTACATATTTAAAGGCAGCAAAGTCAAATATTTTATTAGGTTGCGATTCCATTTCACAACGGTTGTTGCATCAGCACGCCATGCACTTGGAATTTTCAAATACAAGATGGAAGAGCATCTTTTTCCAGGTCTTAATATAGCTTTCTATGGATTGGTTAACTTTCCAACTTAATCGAAATACTAATTTTATTTATCCAAAATCTAATTACAAAACTGGGTTTATTTGAAATATTGAAGTTGGGTTTTTTATATATATAAATACATCTTCATAACTAAATTTATTTTTTTTAATCAGTGAAATAAACATTCCATTCTGATTTTAGTGATCCAATTTGAATTGGAGTTATCGCAACGACATCAACATATCTCGGTGAAAAGTATATATGAAAAAGTGCTGAGCAAAACCATGCAGTTTTAACATGTATCGATATTAAACATATTTAAAGTATAAAAAATTATAATATATTAACTATTATGATTGTTTATGTGTCTAAAATAACCTTATTTACAAGAGATTTACTTCAAGTAAAAGGGTTTGTAAACTCTATAATGTTGATCCTCTTCTTTTGACTTTGACTTTGACTTTGGAGGAAAACCCAACATATAATTCTTCCGCACGCATTCAAATGAAAATTACATCTTAAGAAATCGAACATGCATTTGTATAGGTCAATTAACATACACGTATATGCGGGAAGCTTCGAGATATATAATATATATTAGAGTTTGTGACCTAAATATTTGTTTATTTTATGTTATCTTCCCAGTTTATCGTAAAGATATATGTAAAAATGAATGAAAGGAGAATTTATAAGCATCTATGCCTTGTAGATTCAATGTACATTGTATGAAAACACTTAAAAAATTGTTGTTTAATTGTTAAAAGTGGTAATATTGTACGTGTAACTTTAAATTATGGGCAAAGTACAAGCTGTAACCCATATGGGAACCCTAAACGCCAGGGTATGGCTAAAAAATGGTGTTTGCCCATGTTACGAAATTGATTTAATACTGTTTTCATATTATTTTATTTCATATATTTTGATCTCTACCACCTGTCGTTCCATGTTACGTAACTTATATTGGGATTAAGATCGATTTGGTATAGATTTTTAAACTGGTTATTAAGGGTAAACTGCACAGATGGTCCCTAATATTTTCGTTCCATTCAATTTTGGTCACTAGTTCAAAAAAAGATTGGTCCTGGTCGTTTACTTATCGGTCAGACTTCTGTTACAGGGTGTCGGGATGCTACGAACATCGATCCCAAAAGGAACCCATCAAAACGCTAGCCGAGCGAAGCTACGGTTGTCTCTATGTGGTGGTGTTGTTTGATCAAGATGTGCAGATTAGATTGTTGTGCTCTTTCCGTTGACTCTTCTTAGTGTTTGAGGGAATCTGTTTTTATGTTTGGTTGTGGTGTTGTAAAGTTATGGTCTTGCGATGCTTAGTCATAGATAATTGGGAGTGTTGTGTGTTTGTGTTGTGGGGGCATTCTTGTGTTGTGTATTTGTTGATGTTATTCTCGATTATTTTTTCCATTGATTAGGGTATTCTTTTTCCTTCATCTAGGATTAGAGATGGTTTTTAACGAGATCCTAACAATGCTCGTTTTATATGGGTTTTCTAATTTAATCATACAAAACTCCTTTTAAAAAAAGGTACTAAAATGTCTGAACGAATAAGTTGAGGGGGCAGATTATTCTACCTATATTTTGTTTTCAGTTTTGCAACCAACGCTCAAGTGAAGCCCAAGCTCAAATTTAGGCCTAATCGTATAACACAATAATAATTGCAAAAGCTGACAAATATGCCATTAACCCTTTACCCCTTAGCTTCAAAAACATCAAAACTCACCCACTGCCCACCATGGAACTCCCTCACATGCTCAAATTTCGTCTCTTACCAGCTTCAACTCCGCCTAATTGGCCCTCGACATACCTTTCCACCCGATTTCTCCTTTCCAGACCCGCATTTGAAAACCCGAATCCACTCTTCACTCCTCGAAATATGGATAAACCGAGAAAGATTGACGGATAGTTATTAGTCCTGAATTTTATATAATTTAAGTGTTTTTTTATTAATAATTTACTTTCATCATTAAATTTAGAAATTTGACATGTAGTGTACATCCCTACACAAAGATATCTCACTTCCACAACTATTAGCAAGGCGGGTTGATTTTAGGGTCTTGGAGATGAGAAGAAAACGAGCTTGCATGAGATAGGGGCAACAAAGGGCAAATGAAGTACAAAATTAGGCTCGCCACATACAGCCACCGATGCAAAGCATGTGTAGAGGGCACGTATCCACTATGGAATCCGATTTTTTTTTTTTATATATTTTAGTTGTCTATTTTACTATCAACTTGAAATTCATTTGGATTTCGGGCACACTGTTTCGATGAAAATAATAAAGACGAACAATGAAAACAGTATCGCCTGCCGCAACTCACAAACAAACGGGTAAGTTGCTCTTATTTACCTGCATTCCCAACGAAGAAAAGAGTAAAAGACTACATGAATCTAGATACCAACATAAATTAAATAAAATCCACGATTAAGGGTGTGCATTTTCAAATCCACAATCAATCTCAAAAGACTAGATATCAGATTTTTCGAATGTCGAGAATTTTAATCGAATATCTGAATCTAAACATCTAACTTAATTTAACAAAAATTCAAATTTAAAATTTATGTTTTATGACTTTATGCGATATCCTTTGTACATGTATATATTCAATTATTCAAACATAATAAACAATTAAACATGAGCTAAGACATTTCATGCTGGGGCTGACCATTTGTGTTAATGTCTTAGTGGGTTTTTCACTTATTAGGCTAGAGATTATCTAAACTCTAAAGATTGATTTTTTAATCATATTTTTAAATGATTTAAAATTAGAATTTAGACAATCCGTATCTGATTCAATTATTATTTTTTCTCGGATATCTAATTCAAATTATCTGAAAATAAAAAATAGATCAAATATATAAATTGTCTGATTGAATCGACGACATTGATCAAATTTTCTATATACCCCTAACAACGACTATTGAGCAAATGAATGACAAACTCAATGAATGACAAAGACAATAGGGAATGGATGTTGGGCACCCCTAACAACGACTATTGAGCAAATGAATGAAAAAGACATTAGGGAATGAATGTTGGACGGTCTTTCCGTTCCGTCATCTGGCTTATGTTCTTCATGTAGCATTCAGACCGAATGACTATGAAATTACGTCGATACTTCCACATATTATGGGTAACGTAGGAGACATCTCTATTTTTCCCTGGGGAATCTTTAGAATTATCACTGCTTAGCTTGAGCAAATGAATGACAAACTCAATGAATGACAAAGACATTAGGGAATGGATGTTGGACACCCCTAACAACGACTATTGAGCAAATGAATGAAAAAGACATTAGGGAATGAATGTTGGACAAGGTCATGATTTGAGAAAGGGATTTCAATATTTTATATTGAACCAAATTGATAAAAGAATTTAAATATTAAAATTTTATTAAGATCAATAAGTAAATTTCAAAGGTGACATCATCAACCCTGTTGTATCAACGGTCAAACCTTCCGCTAATCTGATCATAATTGAGGATATAAAATCTTCCATAAATATTGATGGTTAGAAACGAATCCTAATCTTAATCCCCTTCAAAGCGGGTGAAGATTCTGTTGAATTAAAAGGAAACTAATACAACTACGAATTAACTTTAATGAACACAAAAGGAATGAACAAAACACACACACTCACACTGTTTGATGATCCCTACATTTCCTCAAAACTTTCTGCCAAGAACATAACAAGAAATATTCCCCTGCAAACTCACCTTCTTTTGCACAAATTCAGACATCCCAGAAATCTGAAACCCTGTTTTTAGTACTGCCATGTTTACCATCGTCCAAAATAAAACTCTTGTTCTAATTCTGGTGTTTGAACCGAGATTTTGTACATGTGAAATTTGTCTCAATAAACATTCAAATGAAACATTTATTCAATTTACATATCCACCCAATTCACAAAATAAAAAACAATAACAAAATGAGGGGGGGGGGGAATCAAAACTTTAAAACACCTAATACTCTTCTTTGTTCATATAGATGGACTTCAATTTAAGCTTAAATCCCTCTAAAACAACCTAAGCATACATAAATCAATATACCCATAACTTCCCATCAAGTTCGCCGGAATTTCCAACTCCGGTCACCGGAAATACAAGTAAAACAAAGATTAAAACACCTATCTCGATCTACGCTTACCATTCTTAATCCTACTACTATTCGTGGATTGTTTCCTAAAAGCACTGCAAAACCCACAAGCTGAAACCTTTGGAGAAGGCGGGTCAATGGCAGGGGACACCTTACCGGTACGGTAACCGCGTCTTTCACCGCCGTTAGATCGGCTTCTTTCGACGGTGGTGTTGATGGGAGCAATTGTCGGCTTAACATCCTTAACGACATCAACTTTTTCTGGGTTGTTATTGTTGTCTTGCACCTGCCCTTGTTCATCTGGTTTGGTCTGTCCTCCTCCTCCTTCTTCTTCTTGTTCTGGTTTCATTTGGCTCAACTCCGACAAGAACTTGTCGTCCCAAACAATCCCTGAAGAACCTTGCCTCCTAAAAGACACCGCAGATCTTTGAAGACCAGCCATGGCAGACGGCAGCTCTAACTGGATCTTTTAATCTCTGTAATGAAACTAAAATCAATGGTTTTTTTTCCTTTCGATTTGTTGTAAATACTCTTCCTATATATGTGTGGATGGAGGCATAGAGATGAATTTTGAAGATTTGGTTAAGGGTAAAAAGTCATAATAAGGGAACTCGGTCAATATTTCCATTTTTCATATATATATTTCCTTCTTGTCGAATTAATGACTAAAGAAGGGCTGTTAATTATGGATTAAAAATATAGGGTAAAGCCCATAAATGGTAAATTAATTATAAGATATTATTTTATTAAGTACATTAATCCTTAAAAGTTATAAAATGTTTCATTAATTATAAATTGTTGTTTTGTTAAGTTCTTCGATTATTAAAAGTTATAAAATAGTCATCATGTTAACGTGCGACTTAGTCGATAAATAATTTTTTAACGAAAAATGATGAGTTTGAAACATAATGAATATTCGAGTGATCGATTTCAACTTTTAATTGTTAAGGGACTCAGCAAAGCAACACTCTATAGTCGGAAGATCATTTTGTAACTTTTAATAATTAAATGACTTAATAAAATATATCTTATAATTAAGGGGCCATTTAGGTAATTCACCCAAAAGTATAATACTTTAGCATTATGATGTTATATTTAATATATTGAGAATATATGAACGAAAAAAAAAATAGCTGACTCTATTACTATATATGATGTGGTAAGGGGGAGGTAGGATAGTAGGTTACCCCTAACGTCAGGTTGAGAGCAACTTTCGTAGGAGACCTCCCTTTGTGGGACTCGATCCCATATGAACGAACATTTTATAAATTTAAAATAATTATATGATAGTATGTGTTTAATTTTTTTCTAATCAATATCTTTAATGATTTAACTTTTATATGAGTAAATGAATACTTTAATTCATTTTTTTTTGTTTTAAGAGTCTTAATTAAATATTTTAAGAACTATTATGTAATATATATTATATATTAAATTTAAAAATTTTAAAAATTAAAAAATTAAAAAATTAAATTTTTAAGAAAATATTTGATATCTATAATAAAAATGCTTAATTATAAAATAAGTGTCCAAACTATATCGTTTTCCCTAAATAAGTAGCCAAACTTTTTAATCAATGTGTCTAACGTTACAAACATTACCATTTTAGGTACTCGAGATGTAACGACCATTGATAAATTCCGTTAAGTAACATGTGTCATGCTTTGATAACTTTAAAAAAATAAAAATGAAAATATTATTTTTATAAAACCTTTTTTTTAAATTACAAAAAAAAAAATTCCTAAAAATCCCAAATCTCTAACCCTAACCCTAATCTCTGTTGTCAACCACAGGCACTGTCGCCATCATCGTCCTTGCCATGTCCATTGTCAGTCATCCGTAGCTTCAATTTTGCGATTTTGATATTTTTTTTATCATATTTAAATTATCGATTAGGGGTTCTTTGGGTGGTTGTGTCATTGGTGGCAGTTTGATCAGATAGAGGTTTGTCGACGACAACGACGCGAATAGGAGTGGTTGGCGTGGGCATAAGGATTGGAATAAAAGTTTACAAAGTTAGGGGTTTTCTAAGATTTTCAAAAGATTTAGGTTCTTTTTAATAAAACTTTATTTTTAAGTTTTTTTTTATTTTAAATATTTTTTTTTTCAAAATCATTGTAATGTGACGTGTGTCACTTAACAGAGCTTTTTTATTGGTAGTTACGTCTCAAACATCTAAAATAGTAACGTTTATAATGCTAGGTAGATGAATGATTCAAAAAAAAGTTTAGACACCTATGTGAGAAAAAAAAAGTATAATTTATACATTTATTTTATAATTAATCCTTAAAAACAGATAAACTATTGGAATGTTGAAATTTGATGGCCAAAACTCATGACTATAATAATTATATATATAAAGAAATAAAAACATTAAAACATGATAAAAGAAAGTCTAAAAGCTTCATCAATATCTCTCTATTCTCCTCAATTGTCTTTATCATCATTGGTCATCATGTTATCAACAACATTATAATTGAACACCCATTTATTGATAGAAAAGCCTATTTTGAACTATAATTAATCACATGATTAATCAAATAATCAAAATTAAAGCAGAAGGGTTCGTAGATAATGACAACAAACTAGCTTGACCTTGTTATTTTTTCCTTTAGAATTAGAAAGTTACATGCTGCATGATCATGAAACCAAATAACTTGCTTGTGCGATTCATTTGAAATTGCTTTTCATTTAGATTCTATGGGATTAAAAGATAAAATATTAGTGTTTTTAGCTCATAATTTCATGTTGAATACTTCTTTCTTAGCTAAATGAAGAATTTAGAAAAATAACACCTGTCGTCTACTTTATGTATTTAGATTTTTATCAAAATGAAAGAATTTAGATTTTCCAAATCTGTTGGGCTTCTCGATCCTACAGGGGCTGAGATTCGAGCGGTGGTTGAAGCATGTCATTTGTTTTCGGTTTCTAAGTGGTTTCCATCTCCTTGTCTTATTATAGAATCGGATAGCAAAGTGGTGGTTTCATGGATCAAAAACCCATCTTGTGCCCCTGCTTGTTTTAGGGGCGATGTTTTGCGTTGTAGTCGTTTATGTTGTGTGAATTCTTGGAAGATTTCCTAGGAAAGGAAACAGGGTTGTGGATAGCTTGGCTAAAGCAGGTATCGACCTCATTTAGGTGTTGGCCGCTCGTTGTTTTGTGTTGCTCTTGCTTTCGTGTTCTCTTCATTCATGCCTGTTGTTGTGCTGCTCGTTTAGCTGGTGCTGTTTGGATGCAGGTACGAGAGACTTAAATAGCAGCTTATCTTCCTCGTTTGCTGGCTGCTGCTGCAATTTGTCTTTAAGTCCAAATGGTGTTTGCTTCAGCAGTCTTGTTCATATTTGGTAATCACATTGCAGCTAATCTGCTGGTTCACTTTGCATCATCGTTAATCTGCAGGTTCACTTTGCATCATCACGTTGTACTTTTTTTCTTCCACCTAGGAATAGGGAGATTTTTTAAAGAGGCTCGTGTCTATGTATTTCCTTTGTATCATTTTATTATTCAATGAATCATACTCTTCTCTTTTCAAAAAAATAAATACATAAATAAGTGTTTAATATTCTAAAGTTATCATTTATAGTGGTTAACTAATTTTGAAAAATATGTTATCCAATTAATACTTGATTCTAAATTTATTTTAATTTTTGTATTTTCTAAATTTCTCTTAATTTTATCTTTAAAAAAATTAAAATCATTAATATTTTTAAAATCTTTAAATTCCTTAAATCACTTTAACACATAATTCAAAATCTCTAGATCTAATATATTGTCATCGAATCAATCATTTTTAGTCAGTCATCTCTTTCTTATTGGACTCTCACTAATTGGTCGTCCCCTTATCGTCATCTTAAATTGCAAATCCTCTCTCATTGTCTTTAAACACTATAGTACAAAATTATTTTTTTCACAGATTCATCGTTTGATCGTTGTCATCGATAAGGCTACATTGTCACCAAACATCCAATTGCGCGTGTTATTGCGTAGTCTTGTAAACAAACCGAACGAACACGAATGAGATATGTTTATGTTCGTTCGTTTAATTTTAACCGAACAAATGAACAAACACAAACATAAACGAACAAAAGATTTCTTGTTTGTGTTCGTTCATTAAGAAATGTAGCTTGTTCGTGTTCATTCATATTCGTTCTTTTAAATGATAAACGAACACAAATGAACGAATATAAACGAACGTAAACGAACACAATAAATGAATATAAACGAACATAAATGAAAATAGATTTTCTTTTCTTTTCTAACAATTTTAGGATTATATTTTATTTAATTATTTTAGGTTTTTTTTATTTGTATTTAAAATTAATTGAATTTTAAAATATTTATGGGTATCAGATTAGAATTTATTGGCTTTAATATTTTAAATGGGTCTAGAGAGATTGGGCTAAACATAAATAAATGCACATAAACGAACGAACATAAATGAACGAACATAAGCGGACAAACATATTACATAACATTCACGAACGTAAATGAACAAATGAGCCCTCTATTTGTGTTCATTCATTTAATTAAACAAACACAAAATCTTGTTCATGTTTATTCGTTTAATAAATAAACTGACATAAACAAACTTTCCGCCGAATTGTTCACGAACGGTTTGTTGAACGGTCGGTTCGTTTACATGCCTATTGTTGCGTAATTTTTAACTTTTATGGTATATGAGAATAAGAGATTTGTAGGTTTGAGAAATTAGAAAATTTAAGAGTTTTAAAAAGTTTAGAATTTAATATTTTTTAAAAAAAATATTATCAATAAAATAATAATATCATAGATCAAACAAATCATTAATTAACGAAATTTTCAATGATCATTAATGAGATGACCTTAAAATGATAACATAATAAAATTTTATGCAGCTTAAATGATATAAAAAATATTTGATACTTATTTTGATAAAAAAGTTTAAAGAACTAAAATAAACCACAAATATAATTTGGACATTTATTCTTTAATTATGTTAAAAATAATTTATTAATAAAGGTTTGATTATAATACTAAGATATAATATACTTTCATTATAAGATATAATATATAATACTAAGATATAACATACTTTCAATAAGAAATTTTAAATTTAAACATCGAAGATGATGTTATTCAAAAGAAACAACAATCATTCTTTATATATAGAACGATTCTTAAAATATAAGATGAATTATGCATTAGTATCTAAACTATCAATTTTTTGAAAACCACATCTAACATTTAGTTTTTGTTTCATTTTAGTATATCACCGTTAAAAACTTAATGTGTTTAGTACCTAAACTATCAACTTTGCTTTGTTTTAGTACATAAACTTTCTTCTTTTTTCAAAAATTAACATTAAAATTTTGAATAGGGGTACTCAACTGAAATAAAAACTAAACTTTAGGTATGGTTTTGAAAAAAATAAAAATTTATATACTAAAATAGACCAAAAATAATAGTTTAAGTATTAAATACATAATTTACTCTAAAATATAAACTACAAAATAGACATGAAAATTAAAATATTATATTAATGATAAGCCA